ATGGAGGAAAGTAGTAGGGGGGAACCCAGTGTATTTCAGGACAAAATCGAACAAAGTGGAAATCATGTTTTACCTCCATCGGGTCAGGATAAAAGCGATAGTGTATCGGACTTTGAGTGCGTAAAGCCTAGCAGGCCAAAAAGACTTGTGAAGAAACCGGTTCATTTAACAGATTATGTTTGTAGTAGTTTAAGTTAGTTTAGGTATAAGATCATTAATGACACAGGGATCTTTTATAAAAAAAAGGAGATGTGTTGTTAGCTTAGATTAAGATATAGGCGCCGGAGTTAGGCAACACAGATGACAGGGATGTCATGTGAACGTAGCCGAAGCTCGGCAAGGATGTATGTTTGAGGGTTGAGAATAAACTGATGTTGTGAAGTAACGATTATTATTTGTAACCCCTCTTTGATAACACGACAGTCATCCTTCTCCATTCTTATCTTTGCTGTTACTATTCTTTCTGATATGTACTGACACTCTTTGATTAGATTTTGGTGCCTTTGGTGTATTAGTAAGGCTACACCTTCTTTGGCCCTGTTTACTTTTGCTACTGACCTGTAGATTAGTATGAATTCACTTAATTTTGATTGACTTTTCCTTTCTTTTTTGTTTCCTGTAGAGCACAAATGTCTATTTCTTTCTCTTTCAGCACTTGGGTTATTTCTTGGTCCCTTGAGTTGAGTGATCTGATATTCCAAGTAGTTAGTGATTCTCATCTGGGTTTTGGATGTTTTTTGCTTGTATTTATTTCTTGCCGTAGTCGTCTTTATAGTATCAATCCGGTTCCGAGGCTGTACATTGTTTCTTTGGGCAGTTTTTATTTTTTACGATTGGTAGCCGACCGATTTGAATATCATACACACACAACCTTCAATATTTCTTTATCATTTCAAATTCCATTGTTATTATTCTATCACTCGTTCTTACAACTTATCTTACAACTACTTCGTTATCTTTTATTTCTATATCATCAATTATACAAATTCCATTACTATTGCTAATTTTTCCTACATTCCACACAATTTTTAGCCTTTTCTAGTTCTTTAGTCCTTTGTCCGTTCCACCTCGTCTCTTGGAAGCAAGCAATTTGTACTCTACATGTTTTGGGCCCATCTAACAACTCTGTACTGTTACCTGTAAGATTTCCATGGTTCCAACACCTTAATCTGATTTTTGTAACCTGGATTTTTCTAATGGTATTCCCTCTGAAATAATCCTCACCAAGAAATCCGAACGGAGGATCTGTTTGCTTCCGGAACATTTTACTTCAGGAGATGGCATAATTTCATTATAATTTTTGATACATTGGAGAAGTTCTTTTTCTTATTAGATATGGTCTGCAAATCTTTTCCGACATTTGATGCCTGAATGCCTTTTCTATCAGCATCACTATCAATGCATCAAAATGCAGTATTACCCCATACCCGCTTACATTGTTCTGTACCTACAGACCAGAAACCCAGCTGTAATAATTGTTTAAAAGCCACTGTATTATTGCTCGTAGTCGCCACTTAGAGGCACACATAGGAGATATATTTCGATGTGATGTACAGAGAACCAAAGGTTTAATATAGTAGTAATATTTCAAGTAACAAAAAATAAAATAATCTGCTAAAATTTTTGTCCTATGCTTATTTTTGTCCTATATCCATGCACTTATAAAATAAATTAACCAATTTATTACAGATAATTTTTATTAATAAGACTAATTCCTGCTTGCTACTGAGACAAGTTGCCAATAAGTTCCTGGTGTACTTTTTTTAACCTGAAAAATAAAGATTTTATATTTCTGGTAATGCTTGTATCTTCTCGTTTTTGTTGTTCCTAATACAAATATAATATTGTATATTCAAGTATACTGTATATTCAAGTTGGCTTTTGTTTCAAAATAAAAGAAATTGTTATTGAAATGTTTTAAGATGTTTCAAATCATTAAAACAAATATTATTTATGTATGATTAATGCCATGATTAACACCCTCCGCCCATGAAACAATCTAAATTGATTCTTTCTGTATCTTCTAACTTCATGTTGGTTTACATGACAAGTAACATTAGTTGTCATGTCACATTTCATGTATTGACTATGTTATTAATTCAAATATTTCTTCAATTAATGTTAAACAATATAGATAATTGTTTTAGCGTACTAAATATCTACATCTAAACACTTTTTTATTTATATAGTTTTTATTTCTATAGTATTAATTGATTTAAAAAAAAATTGTAAATATATTTTGTTTTTAAATAAACTTAAAAAATTGGTATTATATTATTATATTTATTAATCCAGCAAGAATAATATTTTAAAAAGTTTTTTTAGATTGCGACGCGTAATTCTGAAAAAAAAAATCAATAATTTGAATTTACGATTATAAGACTTGCATAATATTGTGTATTTTATCACTAATCTCAGGAAATCAACATATAATTAAAAAATATATATGTAATAATAAATATATAAATGTACCACAATAAAGAATTCAATAATAATGGACGTTAAATAATTTGAGTAATTTTAAACTCAAAATGGACAGAAAATTTACCAAAAAAGATTTTTAACCTAGCTTAAGGTGACACCTATGATCTTTTATAAATACTACATGGACAAAGATATAAGCAGTTTTCTATGTAACGGAATGAATAGGAATGCTGGATTAAATTATTTTATAATTATATTTTGCTACATTTATTTGATCTAAAAATTTAGTATTACCATTGTTTAAAAAAATTACATTTTGATTTCGTTTTTTTTAAATATTGGAATTAATAATTAGTTACAATCGTAGATATATTTTTTTATTGTTTGTTTGCCCAGGTTAGCTAACAGACAAGACATGTCAGTAATTCACACTGTACATTTCCAGAACTGAAACTCACCTGGAGTTTTTTAATTAATAATTAATTTATGTAACTAATCTTATATAAAAAAAATTTATTAAAAATTCTTTATTAAAGGTATATAATTAAAAAAAAAAACAATCGGACTATATTACAAAATGTTTTCGGATCCATAGGTATTCCATCATCAGTGTCTAGGTATACATGTATGTAGCCACTAAATATATGGGTAAAAACCCCTTAAAAATTGTTTGTTTAAATTTAGTTTACATTATGTGTAATTAATTATTATGATGTTAAAGTTACCAGTGGATTTGGTAACATGACGACGTATGACTCCACGTGAAGTTGCTGATCCTGAGACGGTGTGTCTGCGAGGTCTTGATGAAAGCAAGTCCTCACAGTTTCCTGTTACCGTATTTAGTCGAGTGTTTTTTACTCAAAAATGTAGTGATAAGAAGGTGGCGGAACAAGAAATTGGTCGATGGTTGAGGAGAGCCGGGGATCGCTTAAAAACTTTCAAGAAAAAGAAATCAGAATAAAAACTGAATTTATTTTTTTTTAAAATAATAAAGATATATTCACCTACATGTATTTACTTTTATTTACATAAATCATCACAAGTGTGTATAGTATGTACATAATATGCATATATAGTATGTACTAGGTATGTTCCATCAATTGGAAAATGTACGTGTTATGTACGTTTTAAGTACGTACTTCGTACATCAAAGTACGCACATTGTACATACTGTATGTCCCATCAGTACGTACTTAGTTTGTCTTATGTACGTACTTGTGCTTATACGGTATCAAAAGTATTGAGCTCTGGTGGAACTCTATCCTTGTTATCGAGGCCTAGGTGACGTATACTGGAGTAGGTATCTACCAAATATTTTCGTAAACATCTGGAAGTCGCGAAGAGTACCTATAGCATTATTATCCAGATTTAGCCATACAGGTACACTCCCTCTAAGGGGAAAATTCACTAAAACCAGATACCTACGGTATCAAAAAGGATTGAGCGCTGGTTGGACACTTTCCGTGTTATCGTAAAAATTTTGTCAAAAATTTATTTTACCCTGTACAATAGTACAAGATTTTTAAAAGTTAAACTTGATGTCGAGTCATCTACAGGACAGCTTTACTTGCCATTTACACTGATTTTTGCTTACATTTCAAATCACCCAACAGGCAGGATGACTTGAGAAACACGGTTTTTTTTGTTGGTACTTTTTTTGGTTTTTTCAAAAAAATTTTATACATGCTCTATTCCTTGCCAAAAGTGGCGTAACACCATATTATTATTTTGTGATATATTTATAAGTAAGGCAGTTATATATTACTGAATTAATGTCTAAATTGTAATCAGTCACCCAACTCTAAGGTACATAAAAAAATTTAATGATTTCACTTGGTCTTGTTTCTCTATATTAATATCTTGAAACTTCCTTAATAAGTCTCATTTTATGACCATTTTTCTTGAATCCTATTTATTTTTCATAAAAAATTAAGTTATACAGTATATTATACCTCCCGTAAATATTTTAAAGATATTTAATATTGTATAACCTCTACTAAAAACTATATTTTAACACATTTTCAAATAAAATCTTTGAATTTTTTTTAGTTATGTACTTTTACTGCATCTTTTACTTTAATTATTATTATTTAATAGATTGGAATTATTCGGAAAACATCGGTTAGAATTATTGAACAATGATTATACGGGGCTTTGACTTTGACCAGGACCAGAGTATATTGACTGTGGTAAACAACAAAACAACGGTAAATAACCAGAGCAAATATTATTGAAGAGTGAGAGCTACCAAATAGGTGTTGATAAGAGAAGGACGCCAAATAGTGTATCATGTCATGAAACAATACCTAAACAAATCTAGAACAGTGTGGAATTTTCTGTTAAAAAATTAAAATTAAAAGTGCAATCGTGCAATCTGATTATTTTGTTAATTTAAAGTGACGGCATATGTACGTATATTGATAAATATCCAATTAAAAATAACAAGAGTATTGTTGTCATGATTATGTGGGACGAAGTATAAATTTTAACTGTTCTATTCACTACAATGCAATGACGTATACTAGTGACGTATTTATGGGATAATTTCCAAGGTAGTTATTTACAAATATGTCATCAATGGGAAATCACTCACCGCAAATAAAACCAACATTATAAATTTGGAAAATATTTGCTGTTATTTACGTAATAGGTGTTTTACTTTCCCGGTAGAGTGATCGTCTGAAGTTTACAAAATGCCACCAGCAGAAGAAGTTCGTAAAAGGACCTCAGATGATTACATTTTTGGGAAAGTTCTAGGAGAAGGTAGTTTCAGCACTGTCTATTTAGCTAAAGACATACATACACATAAAGAACATGCCAGTAAGTACTATAAAATAAGGTCACTACTAATTTGTCTTTGTATTGATAAAATTAAGACTTTTCTAAATTTATAATGTAGCTACATAATTTAGAATAAATTGTGCACTACAAAATTTTTCAAAACGAGGGGATATTCCTTCTAGCTAAAGCAGACAATGTAACAACTTTATGAATAAACTACACGATATGAAATGTATCTATGAATTAGGAACTCAGTTTTCTTCTTTTTATTATTGTTTAAAACATTAATTGATATGTAATTTATTCTTTTATGGAAAATTGATATTGTTTATAATAATAGAGTTGATATTATATTTGATTACATGTTTGACACTTGGTTTTAGGAGATTTAAACATTAGTTGGATTTCAATACTTATTAATTTAAATTTGAATAAAAGAGAATTTGCCCTTTTATCCAGATGCCCTTTAAAGTAATTTTAGTATGACTCAAAAATAAACATTTTATTTACCTTTTTTGTATTGTTGGATTACACCCAAAAAATCATTATGTTGTTATTTAAACAATAATTTTGAGAAATTTGTTGGTTCCGATATAAATAAAGCAAAAACTTTGACACAATTTTATTTTAAAATGAAAGTGTATTTTGACATTTTCATTTCCAAGTATTTTGATAATAATTTCCAAAGTGAAACTCCAAACATCAAAATAAAAACTATGCATTAATAAAACAACACAATGATAAATTATTTTTGATGTAAGCTCGTATGTTCTAAAAATTCCGACAAAATTTAAAAAGAAGACAAATTATATTTTTATCCAAAATAAAAGATGTCACAGAAATGGAATTGTATTCATGCATGATAAGAATGAGCAAAGAGGATATAATTGAACAACAATATATTAGATGGAACCTAGATGAAGTCAATTGGCTTATTGTAAATCTTCTGTTTATTCATAATATCTATTCCAAATCCTGAAACTCTGTGTGAGTGTGTACAGGTATACCTAGTATATGAATACTATTTATTTTGGAGTTACTCGGTAGTTACCAAAAAGTGTTTGCCACCTGTGTTTTACTGCCTCACAGTCATGGAAAATATGTTTCAGTGTTGCAGGTTCCCTACTGCTTGTCTCAGTAAAACACCCTCTTCTAGAAGTATTTTGTAATTGATCCAATTCTAGCAAGTTTATTAGTTCATTCTTTATCTAATATTCCCTCATGACCTGCCACCTCTACTAGTGTGACACTATTATATTTTACCAGTTTATCTAATTCTTAACATTCACAGACAAAATTTACTGTAGGGCTCTTAAAGCTGGCATAACCATTTTACTACCTGTGCATATTATATTAACACACATTCAAAAGTCTTTTATGTTAATCTCTCTTGCACAATTCAGGATTGCACTAATCTCTACCTGTAATACAAAGGTGTATTCCCCTAGCAGAATAGATATGCATTAATCTAGAGCCTAACCTTCTACAGTTTTAGACCATCTGTATACTAGGTGTAACCATACACCCAGGGTTTTGTTTCCTCTAGCCCTAAACGAACTTTCCTTTTATAGTACTCCTCTAGGTACTATATAGTCAGAAGTCAATATCCATGTGGCATGTGGATATTGACTTCTGACTATATCACCTTCGCTGCCATGAGATGCCACTGCAGCATCACAGCAAATTTGACTTTCTGGCCGTGTGAAGCCAGTCGTGCACCTCGGACAGGCAGATATGTTACAGCTGTGTGAAGCCGCATATGCTATTCAACGCCGTGAAATGTTTATGGAACATGTGTACAATGGCTGTAAGAACAAGAAAATGAATTTGGCCTATATAATTGAAAATAACATGTGGCTTCACATGGCTGTAAAACTATACAAAAATAAAACAGCTTTGTTAAGAATATTATTATTTATAGAAATAAAAACTTATGCAAAGAAACACACACTTTATTATTTATTTATTAAGAAATTGTACTACAAAGATAAAAAAAGAATATTAATATTAAAAAATACAATAAATTGAATCGAAAAAATACATTTATTTAGGACTCTGATGAACTGCAAAGAAACAAGATAAGCAATAACTTTTTTGACAAACATTGCATCTAAATTTTGTGAATGGCGAATTTTTTTGGGCTTGTGTTCGGCCACCAGCTCCACTCAGATTTTTATAGCACTCAACGCATCTGCATCTTCCATTTCGACCAACATCTTCTAACACATGCTGCGGCAATGGAGGTTCATTACGACGATAATGCTCCGTATTTTGTATTTGAAGTAATTCCGTCGTGACAAGTTCCTTAAATTTAGTAATGGTCATCTTGTCATTCGTAACCTGTTGATGTAGTACAAAAGCATTGACTAATGATGTTCCAATAAGAAGTTCGACAGCTAATTTCCTGTACCACTTCACGCCTCGTCTTAAAGAAGTAGCATACGCTTTCATCTGATCGGAGAGGTCAATAAAAGCTTTATGATTATTGTAATCAACAACAGTGGACGGTTTTTCCGTTTGCTTGCGCCCAGAGGAAACTTGTAGAAGCTCTGAAGTATGTTTTGTGCTCAATGTCAAAACATCACGTTTGTCCTTCCATTTTTGAATTACTATTCCAGTATTACTTTCAGCAGCTACTGTCTCACCTTTTTTGAGTTGCTTTTGTATAATATCTTTTGGATTAAATTTTCGATTAGCTCTCAGTGTTCCCACCAGATGAGTTTCTTTTTCTAATAATGAATGAGCTAAAGAAATACTGGTGTAGTAATTATCGGTATAAATAGTGCGTCCTTTGTTCAATAAATCTTTTGCCAGTGTAAGAACTATATTTTCAGAAGACGATTGACCTTCTACTTTATCTTGTCCACAATAAACTGTTAAGTTGTAGGTATAACCCTTTTCAACACATAGTTTATACAGTTTGATGCCGAACTTGTGTCTCTTATTTTTAATAAATTGCTTAAAATTTAAACGTCCTCTAAAAGGAACTATAGTTTCGTCGATACACAAAGACTCTTTTGGAGTGTAATATTTTTGAAAATGTTTCAGAAGTTCATTCATGAGAGGTGATATTTTTTGCAATCTTTCATCCGTTATCTCTTCATTGTTGTGAAAATGCCACATCCTCAACAATATTTGAAACCGGTTTCTTGGCATTATTGAACGTATAGAATTTTGGTATAATGTGTTTTGAGACCAATAACACTCCAGTGTGGAACACTGAACTAAACCCATCCAGAAGAGAATACCAATAAATTTTTTCATCTCACTGGCTTCTGTATTATACCAATTTTGAATCCTTGCTTTTGGTGCGTTTTCGTTCTCTTTACATTGGGAAGCATATCTATTAGTTTCGATGACCATTAAATTTATAATTTCATTCGAGAAGAATAAAGTGTAAAAATCATATGGGGTTCTGTTGTAATAATCCCCATATAACTGAATATCAATACCGCACGTTGGCTCTCTAAAAACAAACTGTTTCAAATTTCGACCTGTCACAATATCCCAAACCAGATCTTCATTAGGCTCCTTATTTTTATTTTGGTCGCTGTCATCATTGTTGCTGTCTGTAGTATTATTTTGTATTACATATTCAATTGTTTCCATCAATGTGTCCCCCACATTCTCGTCTTCGATTTCTAATTCATTTCTGTCCAAATTTATAGGTTCTGAAGTGGCAACTTTTAGACGTTTTTTTGTAGAAATTTCTTCGTCTGATGATTCATCACTGCTATCAGGAATATATTCATCAGAAGAACAATTATCCTCAACTATTTCCTGCTCATCTTCATCAGAGAGGGCCTCCTAAAATACAACAATATTAGAATACTTTTCCCACTTATAAAATATAGTGAATTTATTACCTGCCATAAAGATTCTAACCGGTTTAGCTCCTTCTCGTAGCTCATATTCACTCGATACAGTAAACAAACGATATTGCACTGATAAGCATATAATTACTACTGACTCTGACTGACAAATTTATTGCAACTATCGAAATATACAGTTATCCCTCCCATTTAGTGTCGTTTACATGTCTGAATATTCGACCTTGTACCAAGCAGCCGCATTGGCTTCACGCGGCCATTAGAACTACATCTTTGTTTTAGGGCCGCGAGTAGCACATGTGGCTTCTCTTCAAAATTTGCAAAAAAACGTATGGTTTACTGAATAATATGATCAAAACTTAAAAGTATTTATATGTTTATATCGAATTGTGCACAAAAAACATAACGGCCAGAGGGATCATTTTTTTACGTACCATTGTGGCAGCCAACCTGATATTGATCAATGTTTTTTGCCATTGGTGGCATTTTTAAAATGTATGAGAATAAGTATTATTAAATATTAATACAAATATGACAAGTTACACAAGTTCAATAAACTGCAACTCTAAATACTCTTTTCATTTTCTTCAAATAATATTTGTTTACATACTAATATTACACAAAACTAGTGATGTTCATATTCCTATAAAGATGATATAATATATTATCTTTGCCTTTACATTCCTCATTAGAAAGAGACTTCACAATACCACCGACTACCTCTATCTCGTTCCTTGTTATCCTGTTACATGTTTCTCATTTCACAACTTTGTGACTGAGATGAGAACTTGACATGTCATGTTTTGGCGATCAACACCTACAGACATGGAAGTGGGAATAAGACAGAAAGCACAGCTGTTAAATCACAGGATATTGATATTTAGCCCACCTCTATATGGAAGTATGATCTAAAAATATATTGTAGGTCTAAAAAAACTTTTTATACACAAACAGTTCATGTAGAAATACCATTCACCGTTTTTACGAGACTGAATGTTGTTGTGTATCATTGAAGCTTTTGCAGAAAAGGCTTGAAGAGGTGTATGAGTGGACTGGAAGTGTGAGTTCTCTCTACAGAATTATGAAATATTTGGGATTTAAATGGAAGAAAACGAAAGATAATCGACATTTATTAATTGGAAGGAATGATATTCGTGTTATAGACATTAAATGTTTGGACAAAATTAAATATTACAGAAGTGAAGGTAA